TACAAAGGCATCACACTCCATTCTCCTAAATATCCTGTGAGCGTGTGTGTCAGGGAGTGAGTGACTGAAAGCTAAAAGCACACCTGGCAGATAAAGTTGATTTGTTTCTGTGTGGAGCTGAATGGCCAAAACCACAAGTAATCATGGGTATTATGGGACATGCTGTAGTGGGTGAGTGCACATCCCTCTAACTTGGTATAACCCACAGACAGGTGCTCTGGCTGAAAGAAAGAAGAAAGAAATGAGGAAGTGTGGTTTGGAGTATGCCCAGCGTTTTTGTCTCTCTCACACACATGTTGACTGTCAGTCCTCTCAGCCTGCAATCAAAGTTGATGTGATTTGTCTTGGCATATGACAAGCAGTGAGGATCAAGTATCACTAATCCTCGGCGCTGAGGTTCCCCAACACCAAGTTGCTTCATTCAGCCAGAATGCTGCTGATCAGCCCCCGATAGACTCGTCTGACCAGAGAACAGAGGTGCCATTGAAGGATCCCCAGAACCAAAGAGACAAGGCCTCACTTTTATTGAAGTGGATGTGTGCCGTAGCAAATGCTGCATGAGCAATGAGTCGGTTTCTATATATTATTACATGTGAATTTATATCATTTACCTCCAGGGGCTTGAAGCTATTTTGTTTTTGTTTTTAAAGGAGGGGTATTTTTGTTTTTGATCGAGGCTACATTTACTCAAATACATACGAATCTGAAAACCCAACTTCAAGATTAAAGTGTGAACACTAAACGATTCAACCTGAAATCTCACATTCAAACACTGTCGTGCCCACAGGTGTGTTATCCATGTCTGTCAAAGACACACACATCAGTGTTTTCACAAAGTCCCATCTTTTTTATATTTACAGTATAAAAACAAGCAGAAGTTTCTCAGGTTTACCCAGCTTGGAGAAACCAATCCAGTGCGGTGAGTGTGATTTCGTCCACAGCACTTTTAGGATTTCTTGTCTGCTTTATTTTTAAAGTTAAGCATGAAACTTAATTCTTGACGTTGACAGTAAAAGTCTGACACATCAACCCCAAGTCAAGGACTACCAAGAAAAAACCGACCGTGAGAAAAGATCATTTTATCAAGCTGCTATTTCCAAGGTCAAGAACCAAACTTTAAAAAAAAAACAAAAAAAACACACACACTAATGTGGACATGGCTCTGTAGTAGTGGAAAAGCACACACATTCACACACAACAGAAACAAAACTGAACTTAAGTTCCAGCAGCTCGAGTTTTTTTTACATGCAACAGGACAATAAACAAATTTACCTCTGTTAACAAAATTTACATTTGCATCCTTCCATTCTGGCATCGGTCATCTACCATGCAAAACCCTAAAAATGCCTCTTTACGTGACTCCCCTGCTATCAACAGGTTGTCAAAAATCATCCCGCTGACTAACTAATGACGGAGGTCTGTGATCTCTCAGCAACAAGCTGTCAAAAATGTGCTCTCGAGCCAGCCCGACATCTCTCATCTCCCTCTGGGCAGACAGAAGCTCTGCTGCAAGCTGCTTTGATTCTGGTCATTGTGCCATTGGAATTCAGGAGTTATTTTTCCTGGTCTGGACTGGTCTGCGGATGCTCTCTGCAGCTGCCAAGCCTCCACAGTAAATGAGAGGCCTCCTCGAAGCTCTTTGGAGATAAACCTCATTCAGGCAGGCCAGATATGAGATGGTATTTATGGTATGGCATGTCAAGTAGGCATCTCTGACAGACTATATAAAAGTGAAGCATCTGATGCCACTTACCTCCTCTACATAACACAGTGGCAGTACCTCATAATTCAAGAATGGAGTAAGAATCAGGAAAAAAATCTCCTGTGCATGTTTTTGTTAGGAAGTCCTACTGACAGCTACAGTGGCCCTAAGAGCTCGGTGCACTGCAACTTAAGACAACACATGCAAATAGATAAAGCACAAACAAATTAAGAAAACAGCTCCACCAATTCACCCTGACTTTTTAAAAGCAGAGAGTCGTTGGAACAGGACAGTGCAAGGCTCTACAATGCTGGCTTTGTGGCCCAGTGGGGAGTTTGGGGTGGGTGGTGGGGGGTGATTGAGATGTGAATAACACAACCAGACCAAATTAAGATGTGGCGGGATGCCAAGATGGCTGCCCGGGTTTTGCAGACTCAACGCTGTGACCTGGCGGCCCAATCACCCAGCGGTCACCGAGCGCCGCTGCAGTAAGATGACACTGACTAGTGCTGCTGATGCCAGGATGCAAAGATGGCTATTGTAAAAAAAAATAAAAAATAAAAAAAGTTCAGGGCTGAGCAGGAGTTTACCGGATTACATGTGAACTAAAAACATCTCCAAAATACAACCTCAGAGGTACTTAACAGAAAAAACGAAGAACTTGTCCCCATTTTTTGGCAGTTTGGAAAACATCTACCTTGTGCCATCTGTCCAAGGGAATGAGAGAGAGAGAGCTGAAGGCCATTGAGCAGGGGACAAAATCCCAGGAGTGGGGGGGGGATCGGAGGACAGGGTCTGAGGGTCGCTCTGGGAAGTCTCACCCAGATTAGTCACATAGAATTAATCGCAGCAGAGAACAATGGTCGCTGAGCTTCTGGCAACCCCAGCTGTTGCTCAATGAAAGAAAAGAAAAACAAGATTTAGGGCTGCGAGAGTTTGGCTGCAGAGGAGAGAGTGTGGTGGCAGTAACACACACACACTCTCTCACAGTGACCCCTGTCCTCATCAATGTCCACTCATTTTTGTCTCAGCACTCTGACCATTTGCCTCCCAGAAATAGCAACACTGGTGCAAGCGCTCACCCTTTACCGCCTTCACATGTCAACCAAAAATATGAGTCACCTCAGAGTCGCACATTTCAGGTATAATTTACTGGGCAGCGAAGGAACTGCAGGTGTTACACTTACTTGCACTCTTCATTCCCATCTGGAGTTGCTTCACATCTCCCCTTGTTCAAACACAACTCAGCTGTCATGGAGCATCTTAGGCCTGTGAAAGAAAAGTTTTAATACACCTGTAGCTTGCTAAAACTCTTAAGAACATTTAGGCAACTTTGAAATCATTGGTTACTTTCAACTGGCAGTTGTTACAGTAGAACAATCATTCCAGGTGATGTAGCAAAAACATCTTCCAAAATGTTGCTTCCTTCAAAGAGCATTATAAATTACTCCATAAAAGTGAAGTCTAGGTGTGACTCTTGCCACCTTAAAGTGGAGGTTTAGTGGTGAACAGGGGCTGGACACCGGTTTGGCAGTAGCATGCGCCTCTCTGCAGCTGTCCCAAAAGGAACGCGCCATTTGGGGAGTAACACAGCTTTGCAACAATGCTAACACTGTTCTGAAACCAACCTGCAGAGGCATGCGTTTCCATAATGGGGAGGAAAAGGTGTTTGCTGAAACCAGTGCACAGTAAAAAGTATGCATTTATCCACTTTGCATAAGAGTTGAGAAGTGGGCTGGTGGGACCGTGTTATGACATGTTTAGGATAATACCGACAGGTGCACGGAATCCTACTCACTGAATGTAAGTTAACAGTAAACCTGCAGGGCGAGTCGTTAAAGTTAGAAGAAATGCTACACTCTTTTAGCCACGAACCGAAGTGACAGCAACAAGTTACTAAAACTTTATAGAGTCCTGTACAGTGTAAACCAGTGGATATATTACATTTTCTAATCTTCCTGGGGCTGAAAACTACTCAGAGGTTCCAAAAAGTGGGAATCCCCGCCACTCACCTCGTGTTAGTCCTATCAGCGACAACAAAAAGCTAAGTTTCACAAAGAAAATATGCATTCCTTCTGGTTAAAAGTTGTTGTACAAATCCACGTGGGTTTTTTCATAGAGCCGATATTATGTTTTCCTCCTCGACAGGTAGAAACACAAACAATTTTCAGTTCATCCTCGAGTACATCCACAGTGACAGGAAAGCGCGTCTGTTCGCTCCGAGCGCGAGATGTTGTCACTTCAGATCCCGAGTTGGAAATGACTTGGCTGCTCCGCATCCAGGGGCGTTATTCTTCCACACGCACGGACGCACGGTCACACAATGACAGGCGCAAGCTGCTGTGTTTGATTAAGTGATAGTAAAGAAGTTGGCTTTTATTCACCAGACTGAACCATAAGAATGAACCTGCAGCAGTTTGCAGCACACACACTTTAAAGTATGAAAAAGGGGTCAGTTAAATTTAAAAATTCATGCTAT